AGCTTCTCTTCGGAAGACAAAATCATCTGGTGCCTCTTTTACTTCAGATACTCTTAGGATACTTTCTCTTGCCTAAAAATAAATAAGTGATATTCATAGGGAATAATGTAAAAAGAAAAATCAAAATTAACATATTTTGGTCATGTCATCTTGATAATACTTACTTTATAAGCTAAATTTTCCTTTGATGCTAAATGATTTGGATGTTTCCCAAAGTGCTTCTTATTAAACATTGCTTTTGCAAAGGGTATACTTTTTCCAGGATCTGCAACCTAAAAACAAAACTCTATAAGATTTATAAATAAAATTACAATTTTTTTTTTTTACATCAAGTTTGATCATCATTGCCACTGCCTCAGTGTAAGCAGTACCATTCTTTAAATACTTAAAGGTAATTCTCTGTTTTTGAAAATGAAGTCATAGTTTCTATGTCTACATACTTTTAAAATATTAACCCATCTAATAAATAAACCTGATATAAAAATATCCTTCTAAAATGTATTTGGACATGGTAGTTTAAATGATTAGCCAATCATTTAGAACTAAATAATTCAATTATAAATAGTACATAAGATATTGAAGTGCAAAGTGCAGGGGCAAGCCAAGCAAATGCATTGATTTGTGGGTAAGAAAAAATAGCTTATTTTGAGGAAAATTCAGTTTGGCAGGAAAATCCCAGAGTAGATACTTTTAAGATACATGAAATCAAACTGATTGAGACATATACCTAAAAGGACCTAATAGCATGATTGATCTTTCAAAAAAGGGAAAAAGGAAGGTGGAGCTGGATTTTTTTTCCTTTTCATAAATTTAGGAAGTTCTTTGCCTATTAAATTGAGAAAAGGAATACCAAAATTTATATAAAACTGTATAAACATATCCATCAAATTTTTGTTTATTATTTAAGAAAGCTTGATATATACTACTATCATCACTGAATGTGATTTATACTGCTCCCCAAAACTGGTTAAAAGCTGTAAGAGATGGCTGTTTAAGATAGAAAGACAGGCAGACAGCCTGATATCAGCATACCCCAACCAATGTTGGAGGGGGTAAGGATGCAGTGATGGTTGATAGTGATACACTTACTGATACAGTATGTGCAAATGTTACTGAAGTTTCTTCTGGCTTAATTATTTGACTGTCCATCATGTTTAAACTTCTGACATCAGATGGGCTAACTTTTTGCTGAACTGTATGATTTTCCTGTTCATTTATGCTGCCCGATGATGTTTTTGTCAAATATTGCCTTTCAATATCACTGACTTCATCAAGACTTAGGTTACTGACAGTACAGTTCTGAAATCTTGACAAATCCTGACCAGAGTTTTGGAGTACTTCTGAAGTAACACGACCAGTGATAGGAATAACAGCAGTCAGTTTTCCTTCAGAAGATGCATTGGAAAACTGGCTGACTGAGGAAGATGTTCTCTTCAGTTTCAGTTGTAAGTGTCTGTCAACAATATCATCAACATAACCCTTGTATGCTTGGTCAGACTGAAAATTGAACTGTATGTTTTTTGCACCAGGAATCCTAGGTATTTTTTGACTGCTATCTGATTTAGACAACTTAGATGTATCCATGGCATCTTGGGTATTTTCCTTAACAGGTGAAAAACTTATATTACTTTCACATTCCATTTGTGTATAGGCTGGTTTTGCTAAATCTATAAAAGATTCTTTGTTTTCAAACTCAGAAAGCAAGGGTCCTCCAATTTGACTGTCATCCTTCCCAAGTTCCTTCCTAGTTTGTGAAAGAAACCGTGTTAAATGTTTTCCCTTTACACTGGAAGTTTGTGAATTGTCTGTTTTTCTGGGAGATTCTTCAACATTTGCAAAAGAGCTTTGGCATCTATTAATGGTGTGAATACACTTTGAAGCATCTGAGAACCTTGCTTTGGAGATGATTCCCCTGTTTGCATCCCATTCACCAGTGACAGATTCAAAAGATAGCGATCTGTGTTGTTTTGTCTGAAAATGAGCTTAAGCTTACTTTCTTTGTTCATGAATATGTCAATTATGAATAATTACAAAATGTTTTATATTCTTATGAGATGTCTTAAAAATGAATCACATTTAGATTTAAATGTAATTTAATTACATGTAATTATCAATTACATGTACATTTTAAAGTTATGTTATCACTGATAAGTAGGTAATTATATTTATACACTAACTTTTGACAATAAATTAACCTAAGCTAATATTGTGTACATAAAAAAATGTCCAATCATATACAACCAATCATATACAGGCTGGCTTCAATATTTAAACATTACAATTTACCCCATCCCTAGGCTCAATTGCTTCATCTTCTGCTTCCAAGAACTCTTCTAGTCCATCTTCATGCAAGCTTTCTACATTGACCTGTGATAACGTATCTTGTAGATGTTTTATAATGTCATCTGTAGGATTTTTTTGGCGTGGCCAGAACTCTCGAAGGTTGATTCCAACATGGCCAGACTACAGAGACAAAATTATATTGTGAATAATGGAATAATTTCTACCTTGGGTGCACTCAGTACAAAAATCAGTGCTGATGGTTTATTAATTCAAAGATTTACTGCTAAAAAAGTTTTGTCAGGTTTTAAGTGAGAAGATTCCATAGTTCAAAGGTTCAAAATGGTCTGAAAGTTACTAAGAGAGACAAGTTTTAAGTCTACATTTGCTTGGGAGAATTTTTAGAAGTTCATTAGAATTGAGACACATTCTTAGCTTTGCTATTTTTGACATATCTAATTAACTTTATTGCTATATATATATATATATATATATATATATATATATATATATATATATATATATATATATATATATATATATAGTAATAATGCTTTGCCATTTCCTTGCTTATATATTAATAGTAATAATTTACCTTTACTTGATTGGTCAACCTCTCCTGCCACCTTTCCCTCTCAAGGCCGTTACCTTCTGAAACTCCTAAAAAACTCCCAACTACATTGGCAATTTCTCGGCTCTTTGTCTTCACAAATGATCTCTAGAAGAAAACGTGTCAGGCAATGAATAAAAGAAAGGATAGACTATGCCAAATAAATGATGATTGCTGACTGACAGACCTGGAAATTGCCGTGTTGGTTCTCCGGTTCTGTTTGATAATACTATTTGCGTTCTGAAATAATACCAATTCAAGTGTTAAATGGGATAAAACACCCAGTTAATTCAGTCAGAGAGGAAACAATGCCGATGTCCTCAATGACATAAATTTAGCTTGTACGATTTATTTTTGAATTCGAATAGCGACACAGCTACTACTAGTTTCGTTATTCGTTTTATTTTAGACTATGACTACCATTTTAAATAAATACCTTAGTCAGCTGTGAAGAATCTTTCATTCCAGTCGATTGGCTTTTTCTAAACATTGCTACTTTGTCAAACATTGATCTATGTCTTAAATTAGATTAAAAATAAAATACCAGCCAATACAAGCAGACGATCCGAATTGCGTCAAATTCCGCTTTGTGGTTGTCGCTATTCGTAGTCTTGAAAAATTCTTGCAAAAGATGGCGCCATGGTACATGGTGTGTGTGTGTGTGTGTGTGTGCGTGTGTGTGTGTGTGTGTGTGTGTGTGTGTGTATCTTGACGAATAGTCTAGTTTCATTTTCACAAATAATGATAATAAAATCAATGAAAATTGAATTGCAGAATAAGAAATTTAACATGTGCGGGTGAATATTTTCTTGCAGGCTTTTTATTTGTTAAAACTAACAATTTAAGCGTAATGAGATTGAAAGATGTTTCAATGGACCTTAATTACGCCGCAGCATTATTTATTTACGACCCCCCATCCCACCTACGTACCTCTACGACGCCGCATCTTTACTCCCCAATAAATACATTCCCCGTGGTAAAATGCGACATATAAAACATTTTTGTTTTCAAAAATACTCTTTTCAAAGCCCGAAAGTAACACATTTTAAATCATCATTTAAATCTGCCGATAGAACTTCTGGGAACGTTTCTTTAATTTGATAAAGATGAGGTGGAGTATGGACGCAGGGGAATAACGATACAGGGGCTTTTTGATACGCGTAGCCTAATATCATGATTTTGCTTAAGGAGAGTGACGATGCGGGAGAGTAGGCCTAACAATGCCGGTAAAAAGATAACCCACTGTTACCATCGTGAATCTCAAAATGATCATTCGTTTGTGTAGACTCCTATTCACATTCAACAGTGATGTGACGGAGGGGGGGGGGGGGGGACTTTTAACTGCAGTAATTTATTAGATAAAATTATCCATGGTTTGCCATTTCTGTCCGATGGGTATTTGTCTTCTATTTTCGGTTTTTGATAGACTCATTTCTTTCAGTTTATAGAGAGCTTTTACACATTTCCAGCCGCATGCCTCGGCTAACCTTTTTAGTTTGTGTGACGTGAAACTGCAAGTAATGCATGCATATTATGTTCTATAAAGTATTAACAGAAAGGAAGCAAAGGGCAAATCCGATAAGAAAAAGAATAAAACATTTTAAAGAAACGATCCTGGTCAAACTTGTGGCTAACCCAGTGCCAACGAGTGGGATTTTTTTTTCATCACAGACAGCTCCTACAGCTTTGGGACGCAAACTACGGGGTGCCTTCATTTCTAACTCGCGCCACGATCTTGTATCTTCTGACAGTTTTGTATATTTTAATTCTGTTCAGTTTCGTTTTAACATTTATTTGGTGGTTTTTGATGAAAACGGGAAGAGTAAGGAATTTCGTATAATTAACTTTTTATAAATAATTAAAAGGCACGTTAAATTCTGAAAACAAAAGGAACGGTATTACAAGTTCTTAATAAAAAAATCATAAAAAAATAATAACCATTGCCTACTTTTTCAGCAAATTTAATATTGAATAACATTTAGGCAGAGTGATCATAAGTTCTTGTCAGTTTGCTAAATTCCAGTGATACATTTAGGAGTACTATAGCCTACAGCGTTAGTGTAAAGGAGCAGTTTGTCAAACTGCTGCATCAAGGAAAAGAAAAAGCGTTAGTGTAAAGGAGCAGTTTGTCAAACTGCTGCATCAAGGAAAAGAAAAACTTGTTTCCCCTTCAAAATATCGAAAATTTAATCAAAACCATGGAAACTTGAACAACAATTCAATCTCCTATCCCTTGATGTGTACAAAACTTGCTGAGGTTCAAATATCCATATAACTGCACCCTAATTCATGAAAGTTCATATACTGCCCTTAATCTGCAACTCTGTGATTCAGATTCTAGTGTGTCCATCCATGTCCATCGGAGAGATAAGTTATCGCTATAGTTATCAATATAGATATTAAAGCATTATCATTGATGTCCATTATACACACTGACACACAAATAATTTAAGTTATCTCCATATATTTGTGTGTTTATAAAAGTGTGTGGGGTTCTGGCACTATCATTCCTGTCTACTGCATTGGAGTAGGTGCAGGCACACTCATCAGTGGGGAGTTGATGTGTTCTTCTAGTGGTGCTGGGCTAGGCTGGTAGGTGTTGATCTTATCACTTAGTAACTGGAATGTGGTATGAACTGCTTCACTATGCTGAAAAAAGGGGAAAAATCATTAAGCTTGCTGAATAAATCCATCACACATAAATGATACTTTCACAGATAAACATCATATCTATTATAATACCATTTACATAGACTAAATTCATATCTAAAATAGTTAGTATGTCTGCATTCAAAATTTTATCATTAACCATGCTGCTAATACCCATATCTACAGGGTGTCCCAAAAAATACTCAATCTGACTGGCCATTACTCAAAAATCTTGTTTGAATTAAGATGTTTATTGACACAGACCAAGTCTATTTAGTTCAATCAAAGAAAATAACAATTGAATAACTAGAGGATCAGAGAGGCGATACCGCCTCCGAATATTGTACCACCAGCTGGAGCAAGCGCATTCGTATAGACCCCCACATACACAAAATAAGGGACACAGCCACCAGTCTTATGCTTGACAAGCTATAAAAATGCAATCAACAAGAATTTTCAAAATACGCAAAAAATATATATAACTTAAAATGGTACAATCAAAGTTAAGTTCATCGTAAGGTAGGTCAAAGGTCAATTTCAAGGTCGCAGTAAATTGCCAGTATATGACTTCCTATTCAACTTCAATAGTAACTATGGACCTANATAAAAAAAAAAGTAAAGTAAATAAAAAAGATAAATTTTTTTTTTTTTTTTTTTTTTTTGGGGGGGGGGGGGTATGTGCAGAGAAATGTTCACTGTGAGTTATCCCACTCCCTACCTCAGTACTTGGTTTCATTGCCGTCATTAGTGCCTCTAACCTGTGTGGTGGCAGGCGGTGGTGGACATACCAGACCAGACGCAGTGTATGTCTCAAAGCACTCTCTTTAGAAATGCTGGGCTGCAAGTGACAGCATATTCAAAGTTATTCTTTATAAAACTAACACCAATTTGTGAATAAACTTAATATGATTATTGTGTTTGAGTTAGTATGTCATGTTTATATACTGCAATTTCCATCTATGTCCACATAACAGGCCCGTAGCCAGCAATTTCAAAAGGGGGGTTCTTTTTCCAAAAAAGTGGACCTTTTACAGTGAAACCTTTGTGTACCTAGCTCAGATTTTACCCAGATTGGACCTTTTCCTGACAAAAAGGGCGGTGCTTTCAAACCCCCTGAACCCCCCTGGCTACGGGCCTGCATAAGAAGACCCAATGTCAGATAAATGATATACTCCTCCACTCTGAAAAGATTTACATTGGAAAAGTATTATAAGAAATAAATTAAAACATAAATCAAGATTCTTACCAACATCAATTCATCAAATACAGCCATACAGAAGTCCTCCTGGCTGAACTCCTCAGCCATTAAGATGAGATAGGACACTAAGGAGTGCATCATGGTGTCATCATACGCCCTCTCATTCTCACAGGATGATAGCTCAGGGAGCACCCTCATCAACGTCACTTTGTCCTTCTGCTTCATAGCATGGAGAGCATGATGCAGGGCTATGATGCTGGCCACCTCACTGTTTCGTATGAAGCGTATATACTGCTCTGGAGGATTTCTAGTCTCTTCTAATTTCTCATCAGGTATTTTTGCACAGATGCTTCGAATGTTGTCATCCACTAGCATGGACACAATGCCTGGTAGGAAACGTGTCACGATGTTTACATCCTATAGTGAAAAAATATTGACAAAACTTTTGTTTTTCAGTGCTTTAAAGGTACATATGAACCGAGCGTCGGTCGAGTGTGGATTCCCAGTAACACATATAAACCACTTCTACTAGTTTCTTAAACGTTTCAAATAAATTCAACATGCCAAGGGATAAACTGAATAAATCACTCGATCAGACATAAAAGAGCTTTAGACTGCTTTCTTTAAAATTTTGGTCAGAAATTTAACCTACTTATCTGACCTACTTTTCTGCCTCATTCATATACGCACAGTACAGAAAGCTAGTAGAAAATTAAAATATCATTTTTCGAGTAATATTAAACAATGTCTTTTGGTAATTATCTTAGTTATAGTTTATACTATTTGAAACTACATGCTGGCATTTGGTTTGCCTTTGTGGCAAAAAATTGACTTCATATGCATCTTTAAAGACACAAACATTCTACTACTTTCCATTTTAATCTTGAAAAAAAAATTGCATTGTGTACATCCTGCTTTTGCATGAAATATTAATTCTGTAAAAGAACAACCAGATAAAAGATGAAAGTATGTCTGTCAAGCACCTGTCATATTTATTTTTGGGCAATCTACAGATTCAATATTGCTATTTACTTACCAGTTTTGGTTCTTTAAACACTTGGCTATCAATCATTTCCCAAGACCCAATTCCAAGCACTAACATTCTAAGCAACAGCAGTATATCTTCATTGTTCTGGATTAAAAGTATATGAAAGTCAGAAGAAATGACTTCAATTTTATGCAGTTTCATATGAAGACTTCTGCACTATGTTGATGCACCAAACATTTCCATGAAATACCATTAAATGTATGGTAAGAAACTGAAGATATCTTAATGTATAGCTTTAAAATAGTGCTTTTTTTTTTACCAAAAACAACATTGACAATTATTACAACAACAATCATTGGAACCTACCAAAATAATATTCAAATCTTGTAGCAAAATGGTTACATTCTTTAAGACACAGCTACTTCTATAATATAACATTACCCTTGGCAAGCTCTCTGTATTAGAGGCAGATATCAGGTGCTTCAGTATGGACAAGCTTACAGTGTTTGTGGCAAATGGATCACATAATATCATAGACAGGTCACTGAAAAAGAGAATTTAGAAAATATATGTAAAAATAAATGTTTAACACAACAAAGTATTTTTTCAATAAATAAAAGAATATTCTGAAGCTGTTAAGTGTATACATTTGCAAAATAAATAATAATAATAATAAAATAAACCGTACATGGTAATATGCAGTGACTAATCTTGGATTCTATGTTTTATATTATTTTTAATAAAATAACATAGTTCTAAAAGAATCTTGATTCATTTTCACCACCATGGGTTCCTGTACATTTCAGAAAGAAATATTTACTTTAATTCACTTTTCATATCTTTATTAGGAAAATTAAGTAAATTTGCAGGACATTTAGACATAAAAATAAGAGTTTGAGACAGTGTACCTTTAACTGATGTTCAGACATTAATTAAACTCCCCGCCACCATTTAAAGCAAACAAATTTATTTATTAATTGACAAAAATTCTTAAAAGTACCATAGCCTCCTGACAGCTGAAAATATGAGGGGTCTTTTTTTTCTGCATGACTTTACGATAACATGAACAACAATCAATTCAGTGCTGAAACGAACAACTTTTATCATACACTCCAAGCAGTACTTTTTCACAACACTCCTGTCACTGAGCCAACCCACCCCAACACCTGTTCTTGTCCTCTTCTAATTCCATCTAAGAAGCCTTGTAGTTCTCTGGCTCTCTTAGCATCCACAAAGCGTTCCCTAATACAGGCATCTAAACACCAGGTGAACTTGTGACAGGGGTCCACAGAGCATATCTCATGAATCTCCAGCTCATGAAGTGCCATCAGTATCTCAGCTCGCAATGTACAGTAATGCACGTTACGTGTCCTCAGGAATAGTGTGCGTAAAAATTGAAGGACCATGTCATACAGTTTGATGTTTTTACCAACCATGGTCACAAGTTTCTGAACCACAGGATTTTGTCTTCGGACTTTGGTGGAGGCAGTGAAAAATGTCAATGCACTATTTCTGTGATCAAACAATGTATTCTGTTTCTCTTCAATGTATTGAGTGAGCAATGGAGAAACCTCATCCCCAAACAGTGCCTGGTCATCCTGCCAAATTTGCCTTTTAACCTCCACAGATGCATCCTCATAAAGTTCTCTGTCTTCTTTGATCTAAAACAAATTAATTTTAACATAAAGATATAGCGACAACATAAAATATCTAAAAATGTACATGAAGGAGAAAAATAATTGTACCTTTGAAATAAAAGCTTGCTCAAAATTCAAAGCTTGCTTCAAAATTCAAATTAAATTATTTTTGAAAAGAAGCAACTGCAATACGTTGATTTGTCTCTCGAAATGGTATTTCAAAATACAAGCAATGAGATGTATTTTTTCCCTTAAATTTCATATGTGGACATTACAGTAACTTTCACAACACACCGTTATAAACTTACCTGAGCCAAATAAGAATCCTTAATTTTAGGCAAATGCTTCATGACACACATCACTATTGGTCTCAGTGACTTTACTTTTATCAAAGGAAAGCTCTTTTCTAAGAGTTCATTCAGCTGTTTGTTTTTTCCTTTATCTTCCCCACTTGAAAGCTCTGCCACTCTCTTTAGCAGCCTTTCCTGCAGTTCTTCCACTACAGATTGATGGAATTCAAGTCTCATTACACCATGCAGATCTAAGAAAGGCAAAGCTGGTTTCAGGGATGGCAAAAGGATGCCATTCTGTTCTTGAAACTCTTCTATGGCTGCAATTGGGTCTGTACAATTGGTCAATGCCTCTCTCAAGTAATCACTGCCTGGTATGCCTACTTCTTCCAACCCAGACATCTTTAGATAATTTTAATCTGAAAATGATCCAATGCATTTGCAAGTAAAAAACAGATAAACTGCCACTATGCTACTTCTAGCAATAGAAAACAAACTATTGGAGTCCACTGCACGCTACAGAAATGCACTACATCAAACTGTTTTGGGTGTCGCTTTTGACCTTCCCTATTGTCTCGGTTTAAGGCATTGCAAGGAACTAGACAGAAAACTCCTTTCACATGTGTCCAGTAATGTCTGTCTCAGTCGCCGGTTCCAGGACTTTAAATTCTAATAAGTTTTTCTCATTATAGAAGTCTTCTTATTATATTAAACTTTTTGCCATATTTTGAGTATTAATTTAATTAAAAACATTTTTCTGTGTAATTGTTTTTAACAAAATGAAATTTATTTCAGTGATTTTGTTGGACAATACTAATGATTTTATTTGTTTATTAAGACCGCATACAGAGACTAGTGCTGCCGCCTATAGTTAATTATGAAAAACAGGAGTTTTGTTGACTTCCGTTGTACTGAGTAAGAAAGTGATGCACACTCCCGCTTACTAAAATAAAACAATACAAATTACAAAGTTTATTTGGTAAGTGGATTTTACAGATCCTACTAATATTGCGTTTCGGGAATATTCTACCTTTGCGTACGTTACGTGTTTTGCTTCTAAATCATGATTTACAATAAATTACCCCCTTAACTGTAAAACTAAAGGTGTAGCGTGGATATCAAAATTGTCAATGGGAGAGCTAACGCATGAACTTCATATGCTACTGTAGGAGATGCATGGTTGCCTCAGGCAGTGACCACTTAAAAAGTCCCCTCAGCTTAATACCGCAGGTAAATGCCTGACTAAAGCTTAGACAAAAGTCTTGTCTCTTCCAGAATTATTCATATGCACGATATTTTATGTGCCCCTTAAGGACTGTCACTTTTTTATAACTGTTTCAATTTATGTATATGACCATTTTGCAGTGCAGCAGTGGGCTTTGGTAAGCAGCAGGAATAAAAGAGCTCTGATGGAAACAGCACAAAGTTTCATGGTTAGCATTCCCATTTACATTTTCTTATATGTACTGCATGCTAGCACATGCAAGGTATAGGTGCACATTACTGTAAAATGATGATCAGCAAGTGTGCCTTTCCATGATGCGGGGGCTCTCAGATCTTTTGCCTACCTTCTCAAGTCTCACACTTCAGAAAAACCAGCCAGTCTCCATCAATAGTGCTTTGAATAAATTCAGATTCATCTGCTCATCTACCTGTTATGCTTCTCTGAATTAAATTATGTATCAGAAGGCAGACATGAACTAATTATCTTTCATGCTTTAGCATGTATCGTATATATGTCAGAAAATATATATGTTGCGGAACACATGGATTTCATGCTTTGATGAAAATTGGTGCTAGCTGTCCTAAGAGGATCAGCTGAGCAGGGTTTATTTGGATATAGATATAAATTAATTGAATATTATAGTGGCTAGAGAACATAGGCTACAACTTGAAGTGTTTTTTTTTTTTTTTTTTTCAGTCAGCTTTTTGATAGATAATTCAGATGTCTGTTGACTCTGTTCCTGATGCCAAGGCAGGACCAATGTTGAAGCAAGCCTGTACCTCAGGAAAACAGCTTCTGTCCAGGTTTCATGGCTGTCTAGTGGGTGCTGTTCTTGGAGACTGTCTTGGAAGTCCTTTTGAAGGCTCAGACTGTGTTACTTATGATGAAGTGGAAAGAATTAGTCTTAACATGGGTAAGAAAAAAAAAAAACAGTGGACATTTTGTGAAAGGGCATGAAACTTCACATACTTTAATTGATAGATCTTGTATTGTTGCTATCTAAAGCTCTCAGAGCTGTAAATTTTTAGTATGTGCTTTTTCCTTTGTTATGGTATATATTTTTGCGTGCCTTGGTTGATGTGAATGTTTTACTAAAATATTTCAGAGTGACAGTCATGTTTACCAAATATCTTCATGTTTTCAATTAGGTAAGAGTACCAGGTCTTCAAGGCACAGGTTCACTGATGACACAGCCATGACCAGATCCTTAGCTGCATCACTTATAGAACACAATGGATTCAATGCTAAGGACATGGCAACAAGGTAAATGTTCATCTGATGGTTAGACATTTAAACTGCTTAAGTTGATTGCAATTTAGCGAGAATACCCTCGGAGATAGATCAATCCATATTTAATAGGATAGGGTCTGGGAATGGTCTCTATGGTTTCTTTTTTTTTCACATTTGCATGTGTTTCCTTTCTATGGCACTGTGATGGAATGACAATCAAATATGTCCATAGAGTTGGTCATCTTCCTGTCCTTAGTGTGATGTTGACGATCTTGAGTAGTATTCCAGTCACATTCACACCTTCTAGATGAAAACATTACTGAGAAAGACATCATCTAAGCAAATATGACAAAACCTCCCACCAGAGTCATGTATGCCATCTTGAATATAGTGTATTCTTAATGTGCGTCCTCAATGGGAACTTGATAGTAACCTGAGATCAAGTTCTTGCATTCTAGGTAGTGCATAAGCATTCCTCATGTTATTTTGGTTCAGTTGTCTATATATACTGCATCAGAGTATTATCTTCCTTTTTATGTACAGACACAGATGTGTCTGTACATATTGCCATCACCTGCGTCTGTCGTCGCCGATGCCGTCGCCGATGCCGATGCCGGCGCTGTGCACTTTCCTTGTTATTTTACAAGCATGGTATTAGACTAAAACTTACGGTCTGCACAATTTTACTCAAATGGGATGATCCAATAAAAATGATGTCAACAAGTTGCACTATCTAGATCAATCAGTCTCTGTCAAATGCTATGGCAGCACCAAGTACATCCAAGTATGTAGATTGAACATTACATTTTTTTGTACAGACACAGATGTGTCTGTACNAGGTTTACAGATGAGTTCTTCAGAGATTCTGCCAGAGGCTATGGTTATAATGTCACCACAGTGTTTCAAGCCTGGAAAGATGAAACATATGATGACGTATTCCAACCAGCCAGGGAGCAGTTTCAGGGGTCAGGATCATATGGAAATGGAGGAGCTATGAGAATTGCTCCTGTACCTTTGTTTGGGTATAACTTTACTGAAGCAAAACTGCAGGTGAGAACCTACAATTTTTAACCTTTATTGTTTTAACCTAAAAGAGTCTGCTCTTTAACATTTTGTTTTGGTAATGAAATAATTTAAAAAGACTGATCCTTATGGGTTTAGAAAACTGCATTGGAATTTAAAATTCTGATCATTAAAACTGAAATATGTAAAGTTGTTACCAAACTTTGTTCAGTTTATGGCATTTGTCTTTCTTTGAAATTTTTAGTCATGGACTTAATTTAGGTGATTCAAATAAGTACAGTATGAAACTATTTCTTCCATAGGAGCTTGCAGAACAAACCACCCTTCTCACTCACACACACCCTGATGCTCTCAGTGGTGCCATCTTACAGTCTTTTGCCATTCACCAAGCTCTGCATGAAACCTCAGAAGTGTTGGACACACAAAAGTTCTTGGATGGGTTGATAGAAAAAATGAATAAAGTAGAAGATAATTCTGAAGGTGTTTCAAGGAGACCAAAAAGGTAAGTAATATACCCTCTGTAAAGGACATAGAATAGTGTGTTACTCTTTTTTCTTTTGTCTTTTTAGTGTCAGAAGAAAAAAGTGTAGTGTTATCCATGTACATTTTAGTGCTATTACGAATTTACTTAAATATGGAATTTTTAAACCACCATTTTTATTGTCTTTAATTGTCAGATCTCTCTTGATTTATTCTTCAAATGAATTTAAAGAGTAGCTAGTTAGACATTCTGATAAAAACTGAGTCTAGATTTGTGTCAGGTCCAGGCAGCTTAATATTTTTCATTTTCTAAACTGCACTTTAAAGTTCCTGTAAGGTAATTTCACTCTGCAAGGGTTTTTTAGCAATGTCATTTAATTTTAGGATATAGAAATGAGCAAGTATTGACTTAGGGTAAACATTTTTGAAGTCATTATCTTATCATCACTAATGCTTGTGTAAAAAATTGCATCATTAAGTGTCTGTTTCTGATTATGGATTACTATTTTTCTGATAGTTTTAAATTCTGGATAGTTTGATTGACATTTAAACTTTGGTAGACACAATGGCTACTCAGCTACAGTTCAGATTTCTTTTTCAGACCATCTGAGGAGGAACCACATCCATACTGTTTTAAACTAGAAAAAATCAAAGAATTCCTGACGAAAGATGAAGCAGATACAAGAGATGTTGTTTATGAATTAGGTGAGAAACTCATACTTGAGTTTTGACAAATGTCGTTTACTTTTTATTTGATTTTTTAAATAAAATATATTTATTTATTATTTCCCTTTTTGTTATGTCTATTAATATGAAAATAATACTAGTATGAATGTGAAAAGTTTGATAAGAGCTTTGAGTATTGATTCACTCAGGTACAGATGTATCAGCTCTGGGATCAGTTCCAACTGCTGTGTTTGCTTTCCTTTGGTGCCACAAAGAAAGAAAAGGATTGGAGGTAGGACATAAATATAGTTTATACTTATGTGTTGTGGTTATTGTGGTACAATATTTTGATTTTTTTATTGGTATTCAGGTCAGCTGGATTAAAAATAAACTTGATTATTTATTATTATTGATCTTAATTTCTTTTTTTAATTTACTTAATTTAATTTTTTTTTTTTTTTTTTTTTTTTGCAAAATGCCTAATGGTACTTTTTGCTTTAATTCTCCAGGAACGCAACAACTGCCTTTGTATAAAATGCCATTACTCCAGCAGTAACACCTATCTTTCATTTCATGTACGGGTATTCAGAAATGGAGCCCTTTTGAGCAGACCATTATTCACAGTATTTCCCTAGGGGGAGACACTGACACAATTGCCAGTATGGCTGGCGCTATAGCTGGAGCATATTATGGGATAGAGGCAATCCCCTGGGAATGGCAGAGTCAATGTGAAGGAGTCGCTGATGCTAAGAAATATGCAGAAGACATTTTAAAAATTGTCCAGTCTAATGTCACAGCAGAAGTGTGATTTCCATAATACTCATGTAAGGTATAAAGATTAATAATTATTTACACATAAAGGTATTTATATTTTCTGAAAATGAAAAAAAAAGTTTTTTGAAAAGATTTGTTTAATGGGATTTGCATAAAAAGGTTTTTGTTCAAATATACTCGACATACTTAGATTATAATTCACAGTTTCTAGTTAACTGTTTATTGATTTGGAGTTTCCACTACATCCTGGAAGGACTTAAATGAACATTTCTGAGGGTGTTTTCATGGTTTCATACAGGTAATGCTAGGTTAGCAGATTTATGGTCTTTAAAAAAAGCAAAAAAATACTTCTGCCAGAGGGTTGGTCCTCTTAAACCAAATAAAGTTATATTCCTTTAAATTTGTCAGTGCATGGTGAATGTTTACAAAGGCCATTTGCCAAAGCTATTATTATGGGACCTTAAGTTGTTTGATTAGTTGTTTTCTTAGGCACAGTGTACCAGTAAATAGCTAATCATGATGCTGATTTGCTATCTTTTTGCAAGCTGTTACTTAGGTCAGACAAAATTGATAAGTTGTCTACTGGGTGATGACTTTATGCAAACAGGGTTGGTAGATTGATTTTTTTTAATGGGCAAAGCACCTAAATTTTGGTGTTGGTAGATCTTTTTTTATACTGGTAAATGTGCAGTTGGGACAATTTTTGAGCATAAAAACAACAGCTTGAAATGTTTTCTTGTGTCATTTAAATTTTTTGTTTCATTGACCAAACTTTTGCCCAATGCAGGTAGGAGCGAAAAAAAAAATTGGGGTTGGTCACTCATGTTAACCATGTGAGTTATCAATTTCGTTTGGCTTTATACTGGACAGTAACACATAAGAAAGTCATTTTGAACCTTGAAATGAAATCAGAATGCACGAGGATTATGCTTGTACAACATATGATAAAAGATTGATATATTTTACTGTGATAATTTATTTGTTTATTGTTTAAAAATAAATAATGATTTTGCTTAATTTCTGTTTAAGTCTCTTTCTCTCTCTCTCTCTTTAATGGTAAAAATTATAGCTTGTATTGATTTGTCTCAAAATGAATATTGAAAAATTTCCATTTTGATTTTCAAACTATGACTCACACATGTTTTGCATAGCACACAGTTACTCTGGGTTTTGATCCATTTGTTTGTTCAGAGTATTCTTACCTTCTGGTCAGGACCATGCTTTTGCTTTGATGTTGAATTGATTTTGTGTGTGGGAGTAGAAAACTGTTTCCAAAGTGATCATTTTAGAATCAAATTTAATCCTAAGGCAAAAATGTTCTTTAAACAAAGGTGTTGCTATCAGGTATGACCTCAACCCAACCTGCCTGCGTTTTGAAGAGAATGATGACTGTGCAGGATATCCTTCCATCTGCTTATTCCTGTAAGGCCTCCTCTCTCTCGATCTCTCTATCTCTCTTTGTGCCAAAATAAGGTTTATATGGGTATGAATTTCTATAAGAGGGCATGGTCAAGATAAGGTATATTAGTTGTCAGGGTGGATTTTATAGAACATTTGATACATGTCTACCATACCTATAATGGGCAGGGCTAATTTTTGGTGATGAAGCATCTTTGAATACTAGTAATATACCAAGAATAACAAAACCATGCAGTGCATTGTTAATTATTAGCTTATTATTCTACCCTGAAATGATTTTTACAAACTATATTGTTTATATGCCATGCAGTTACTCTTAAGTTTGTGTAGATGCTGCTTCAATAGCCATGTAGTATATTTGTGATTCTTTATACTATGATGTTTTAAGGATTCCATTCAAATATGCAATAAAGAGTTATTGTATTTTTACACACCACAAAATGGTACGGTGCTCAATGTTTTACACCTGTCAGTATCATTTACACATCTTTCTTTTTTCACGTCAATAAAAGAAAGAAACAGCAGACCAAAAATTGAATTATATAATTTTAATTGGAAATAATGAAATAATGTATTTTTTAGATGAACTGCTATGAGAAATGCACAGCCACCTGTCTGCCTGTCTGCATTCCAAGAATACATGTGATCTGTGGAAACAGGATGTTTAAATTGCGCTTCATTTCAGCTATGTACCCTTTTAAAATGAACATTTATAACAGACAGAGTATCTGTGAAATCATAAATCATTTTGTGGTTACCTTTTGGAAAAGTCCTGTATTTTTATAACAGATGCAGTTTACACATACACATTTGCGCAACACGGGCCTGGTTTAGTGTAATCTCTGCATTGCCAATGACTGGGAGTGTTTGGCAAAGAGATGTGCTGTTTTCAGTATCAGTAAGTGGTGAATGAAAGGTATCTGCTGGCCAGGTTAGAAAATTGCTGAGACAGGTGAAGTAGTCCAACTACTTACTGCCTTCAACACCTGTCTGAAAAATATATGTCTGAAAGATACAGGCCCTTATGTTACATAGGAAAGCTGAAGATATTGCTCATGGTATTATTGCAGAATGAAGTATTCATCATTTTAATGAAGTATTTGTGAACTACATGGAAATAATTTAAATGATAAGTTAAAATAATTAACCAGATTTAATTTTATATACAACTGTGAGGTTGCTAAACACAACTTTTTTATAAAGTGGTACTCCATTTATAATTCTAACACAAAAAAATGAAAAAAAAATGAATTTATCCTTTTTACAGTTTAACAAAATAAAGTATAAAATAAAATCAGAATCAAGAATGCTTAAGTAAGAACTGAACTGAGTGAACAAGAGGTACTTTTGCCATTTGAAATTCACCTGTGCCATGTGTGTGTAAGCAGAGTTGCTCAAAACCAGCTAGCTGTGCTGCAGATGATGGTTTGATATTTCAGGAAATGTGGAAGTATTTTGTAGGAGGTAATCAGCAGTAGCAGAATGGGTAAATCATTCTCCAACTGTTTCTCTATTCCAGTATAAATGAGCTGAATGCAAGGTGTGTCCTCTGGATATGCTTAGATGAATGTTAGATAGCGATGTGCATGGAAGAAAAAGTTGATTCATGGTTTTATTGCACCTGAGTGCAAATGATGCCAAAAAATCTTACTTTATGATGAGTGCTTGTTAAATCAATTGATAATGTCATATTTGTAGTTAAAAGAACTGATAACACAGAGTCATTTTAATACATGCTAAAAGCACCCTGCTCTTTAACATGTTATCTTTCCTCTTAAATGTGGAATTTGTTGTCAAACTCTCTAAATTGTGATTTTTTTAATGGTAAGGGAATGTTTAAACCCCCAGTTTGCACATTCCCAAGAAATTGAACTTTAAGTAAAACCACATGTGTTGTTTTTCCTTCACATTATCTCCTTAAACATTTTGGATGATTAAGCACTTCTTTCCTCACCAAGATCCAGCATTCCCTGGAGGTTGCAGGGGCCATGACTGAACCGCCCTGGCCTAGTGTTTAGGGATGATACCCCAGGGAAACTGGCATGCCTGTATTTGGTCAAGATCAACTCAACTGTTTGACACCTGATCTCCCGCCTAGGTGCAAAACATGCTGTGCTAGAGCCTTTTCCCATTTAAGCATCTAAGGCCCAGCTACTGGAAACTACTGTGTATCAGGTAAACTGCTGCTACCTGAGACATCATCATGGGGTCCCATTACTAGCTTTCTGACTAGAGACCTGTGGTGTTCAACACTTATATCCTGTATTAATATTGATTGAAGGTTTGAATAAAAATATTTTGTTTTGGGGTTTTTACACCAATTTATCTTGGCTGCTGCACTGTTTATAATTGTATGATTTTTCATGTTTTATTATACTATAAGAATAATTTATTGCTTTTAATATACATATGATTGGCAAATAATTTCCAAGAGTGCTTCACTCTCAAAATACTAGAATTTAAAGTTATGGCATTTACATACATTTCTAAGAGGGGAAATATATGCAAATCAGCCGATAATCCAAGTAGGAGAGAAACTGTTTTATTTTTGTTAGTTTCCAAGCCACCCCCTGGCTTAAGTAAGCCTTTCCTATTGGACAGGTGCTGAAGATCAGGCAGTGTAGTGTCAGTAAACATGAGTACTTCCTTGCCTTTGCCTGATTTGGTCTGGGTTTCCCTTTGATGGCTCTATCTATTTCCAGCTCGAGGCAGCTTGCGTCACATGATTGGGGCTGGAATAAAGGTTTGATTGGTTGATCCTGAGAGCAGAGTGTTCTTGAGTAACTCAGGTTGTAAGGTGTGGGCACTACTGGCACTTGGACTCTAATCTTACTTACACTCTCAGGAGGCTCCAGGATCAGCTCCTTGCTCAAGGTAAGAACTTATGCATGTATGCTTCTAAGAACTTAACACAAAATTGCAAGATTTTTCTGCATTTTGATGGCAGTATATTTTGTATGTTTTTCTGCACAAAAAGTTACATGACATGGTTGGATGTGAACCTTGGCATAATAAATTGAATTCTGCAGAGGTCAAATGAGCACATGGTGTCATTGGCTTTCACAGATTTCCCCAGAATTCTTGGTAATGCCATGTAACAAAGCTATTATCGCTTGATAATTTTTTGACTAATGATTATAAGATTCATTATTTTGCATGTACAAAGTCTTTCAATTTGTTGCATGAGGACATTATAATCATTACATATAATGCCCCAGGTGTGTAATTTTATTTACAGTTTGTCATCAAATTGCAATTCTTCTGATTTTCTGCAACTGTATTACTCTGACCTTCCACACCATATGCTGTTTGAACATCCATATTTATGGGAACAATTTCATGAAGTATTGTAGGTCCAATAGATATGAAATTCACATTTTAAACACTTTTAGATATGTAAGCACCTGATGACACTTTTAATGATTTCAAGTCAAAGTAGCCATAGAATCTTGCAATAAGCCTGTGAATTTCCCCCAAAGCCCGGACTACCTCACCCATATCCCTATTATAGTCATTGAACCCGAATCATACACATGATACCACAGGTAAAGGTATTTTGGTTGCACGGTGGATAGGCAGAAGCAGCTGCTAACATGGAAACATGGCATACTTGTAGTACAGTAGCCCCTCTCAGACAGGCTCAATTAGGTGCACAAGAGCAGTACTCCCCTTCCCCCTGCTTTTAACCAAAAATTTTCCATATCTGATCAAAAATATTTTCCATAAATAACCTGCCTCAAAATATTAATATTATTTCTAATTATTGCAGGTAATGCATAAAAATGTCA